ATTGAGCTCTTACTCAAAGTAATGTGTTGAGCACTTTATGTAAAGTCTCATTTAATTTTAATAAGCATTATTATTTTTTTAGGGGGCCAGCAGTGATACTAGCAGTGCTCAAGTATCACTCCTGGCTCTGTGCTCAGGGATCACTCCTGGCAGGTTTGGGGGACTGTGTGAGTTGACAGTGATCAAACCTGGGTCAGCTACATGCAAGGCACACCACATACTGTACTATTGCTTTGGCCTCTATAAGTATTATTCTTACTACAGTTGGGAAAATTAAGTCCTGAGGTCATGTAGCTAGTATCACGGTATCACGGTCCTCCCGGTGTTCATCGATTTGCTCGAGCGGGCCCAGCAACGTCTCCATCATGAGACTTGTTGTTACTGTGTTTGGCATATCGAATACGTCATGGGTAGCTTGCCAGGCTCTGCCATGCGGGCGAGATACTCTCGGTAGCTTGCTGGGCTCTCCGAGAGGGGTGGAGGAATCGAACTCGGGTTGGCCATGTTGGCCGCTTGTAAGGCAAACGCCCTACCGCTGCACCATCGCTCCAGCCCTGGAGCGATGTAGCTAGTATGTGATGAATTTGTTCATTTTTCTCTTGGCATGAGAGGCTGAATGTCCAAGCACTTTCTATTACCTCTATCTTTATAAGTACTATCACCTAACTCTGGTTAGTTTTTGTTAATAAACAGTATCATGATCAAGCAGATGACATGATTTATTTGCTGAGGGCAGATTGTTTCCTGCCAACACCCAAATTCATTGATAATCAAATTCCTGATATAAAATGGCTTAGTATTTGTGCTAAATTATGCATAATAACTAATACAGGGCAATTGGTAGTAGTTTTGCTATGCTGTTTAGGAAATGATGACAAGAAAAAAATCTATTATGTGTACAGTGCAGATGCAACCATTATAGGTCTAATACTACGTGTTTTTGATATGTGCTTGGTTGGTTGTGAGAATTTGTAGCACATGGTTATGAAGAGCTTACTATAACCCTCATCTGATAGAATTCCAAGTCAACTATTGCAAGCTACCTTTCTGATAGTTTCCAACCTGGTTAATGGCTAACCAGGTAGTATTTCCTCACACTATCTTCAGTGCTTTCTTAATTTTGATCTCAAAGTTTGGAGAAACCAGAAGTTATTCATTTCACAAAAATGGCTAAGTCACCACATTCAAAGACACAAGACTGTTACATGTATGAGTTAACGCGGTTTCAGTTAAAATGTTTATTTGTTCCCAGATCATGTTCATCTTGCCCCTGAAATTTCTTCTCTTTTTATTTTTCTTTTTTGTTAAAGATCCCCAGTCATGTTCAGATAAGATTTCTTTCAGTAAGACAATAGCAGCAATAATGAATCTCAAGGTCAGCACAACAGGTTGTAGTCTTTTAGTAAATTACTTTTTCCTTCTTGGTGCTGGGGATTAAACCCATCTTTTAAAAGCAAGGTATTTGCTACCTCGCTGTAACCCTAGCCCTGGTTAGCTCTTGTTAATACGCAATACCATCATCAAGCAAATGCCATTATTTACTGTGTGTTTTCAAAAGTCCGGCAGCACTCTATCTCTCCCGCCGCCCAAGTTCCGTAGTCTCATGTCACTTCCCCACCCCGGGGAGGCCAATGGCAATGGGCAGGCGAAGGAAGGAACGAGGGCCGGGCTGGTTGATATCAACTGTAGTTTATTCCAATCTTCACTCCTCTTCTGCTTCTCTCTCTCTCAAGCCTGAGCCCGTCTCACCTCTGACTCTGCCCTCTGGAGCCCGAGCTCGAGCCTGAGTCTGAGCCCAAGCCTCACCCCTAACCTGAACCTGAGCCTGAGCCTGAGCCTGAGCCTGAGCCTGAGCCTGAGCCTGAGCCTGAGCCCGAGCCTGAGCCCGAGTCTGAGCCTCCACCTCCTGCCTCAGCCCTTACAGTCTAGTTTATATAGCAGTCATGTAGGGTGGTGAAACAAAGGTGGGTTGAACATTAACAAATCAGCCAAGAGAGGTAAGACCACTCCTCAAGGAGATTAACTCAAGTATAAAATCTCATCTAAAGAGATTATTCCAGAATACTAGGCGATCCGCTCAAGGGTGGGATCCCAAAGAGGGTGTGTTCTTTCCTCAGCTAGTAATCTACTTAAATAGTTGTAGTAAATCTACTTCCAATATTTCTAGCAATATTATTCTGTATGAGCACAGTAAGAGATATAAACTTACAGTTTGATTCTTCCTGAGGACATCTCACTATATATTCCTCAGTCCTCAGGCCAGGTTAGTCTTCCTACCCCCAGCAAGGTCCTAGTCTCATCATTACTTACTTTTGGATCATGACAGCATTTGTCCATGATCATGCCCTCAATTTATAGTTGAGTATTGTGGCGCTTTGGCCTGGCCCATTTCGTTGCCAGGGAAGCTCACTGCTTGCCCTGGGTCCATTCAGTCCCTCGTTGGGACCCTGCCTTTGGGGTGCTAGGAACTAAGGGCAACTGAGTCAAGAAAGCAGATGCCCAGGAGTAAATATTATTCGGAGTCAGTCAACTCCCATGTTACAAAGCATGATATTAACTGTCTTCCTGTGTCCATACAGAAAGGACATTGCTTTAAGGTAAACTATTCAAAAGACATAGCTTGCAATACAAGTTCAGTACAATGCAAGTCCTTGGAAGGATCTATCTTACAAGCTAACAGAATCTGATTAGGCAGAAAAGGTGATTAACTGGCTGGGGAGGAGAGCACAGAGAAGAGTTTACAGATAAACAGAGGAATGGCAGTGACTCGGAGCACTGTGATGGGTGTGACGTGATAAACCTAAGATCCCTGTGGCATGGGAGAAAGGACAAACCAATGTTATCTTACAATTTACTGTTTAAGTGAATCCATAATGTTTGTGTACAATATGAAGTCCTGTTGCTTTGTTTTGCTGGTTTCCAGATACAATATCTAGTTTTTGTTAGGTTCCCATGGAAATCTCAACTGTATTTCTACACTATAATTTGCCAACTGGTTTTACTATTTTAAAAAGTGGTTGTATGTTTGAAGAGAAAGCACAGTGGGGGAGGTACTTACCTTGCATGAAGCTTACCTGGGCTCAATCTTGGTACAGCATAAGTTTCCCCCAAGCCCTACGAGAGTTACCCCTGATCATAGAGCCTGGAGTAAATTCCAAACATAACCAGGTGTGCCCCAAACCAACCAAACAAAACCAACCAACAAAAAAAGTGATTGTAGAGAGCTCAAGGGCTGACACATAGGCTTTGTATGCCAGAGGCCTGGGATTTGATTGTAGCATTGCCTGGTTGCCTGATCACCACCAGCAGTGACACCTGATCACCAAGCTGGGTATACCTCCTGGGCTTTACTAGTATTGGCCCCAAACCAAAACCAGACCAAAGGTGCATGTTGCACTGTTCCTTTCTGTTTTTTTTTTTAAAGAGAAAAAGTGTGTGAAAAGTTAAAATAACTGTGAGTGCATACAGCTGGTTATCATTTGTGGGTTAATTGAGAAACCTGTGCATGTCCACTTCTGGTAGAGTTTGGGTCAGACTACAAGATAAAACTTGGAATAAACATTTCCTATATTATACTACTATATTCTATTCATTTATTCTTCATTTTCCCCTACACATACAGTGTCAACAAGGTTTTTTTTTTTTTTTTTGCTTTTTGTGTCACACCCAGCGATGCACCGGAGTTACTCCTGGTTCATGCACTCAGGAATTACTCCTGGCGGTGCTCAGGGGACCATATGGGATGCTGGGAATTGAACCTAGGTCAGCTGCGTGCAAGGCAAACACCCTACCCACTGTGCTATTGCTCCAGCCCCCTCAACAAGTTTTTGTTGTGGGAAATTATGTACCCTTTATAGTGGGAGTAGTTGTGATCTAAACGAGCCTTATTTGAGTGTTTAACTTTTCAGCCAAATGCAGCCAACCCAGTTCACAACTTCCAAGGAGACTATGACATCTATGTTTTAGATTTGTTGAGATAAAGTTATATTCTTCAAAAAATATTTAAAATTTAGCTTTCTAGGGGACAGTCCTGGAGATGCAGATCTAACTGGGATTTTGGCACTGGCAGCAGAGATTAATGCAAGGCTTTGCAGCTAGGCATGAGCTCTACTGCTTGTATTGTCTCTGTAACCCCGAATGTGTATGTGTGTGTATGTGTATTGCTTTTTGGGTCACACCCAGTGATTCTCAGGGGTTACTCTGGCTCTGCACTCAGGAATTACTCCTGGTGGTGCTTGGGGGACTATATGGGATGCTGGGCGCGTGCAAGGCAAATGCCCTACCCGATGTGCTATCGCTCCAGCCCCTAATGTGTATATTCTTGAGTGATGTTTTTTCCCCTCAGTCTGTGGGAGATGAAATAAATACTGCCTTTGATGAGAGCAGGGTAGAAGAGTCGTTGGAGCCAGGTGAGACAGTAAAGCGTGCTCAAGAGTCTTGAAGTAACCTGCTTTTTTCAGAGTAGATGCCAGATATTATTTATAGAACTATTCTGATACTTAGTGAGAATCTAATATTTAGGATCAGTATGAGGACTTCACTTCTAGGTCACTCTTCCAGTTACTGTATTTGCAAATACATAGTGCTTTCTGAGTTTGCATCACTCTTTCTACCTAAGTTTGCAGGTATTAAGGAGAACTATAAGGTATAGTCTATTACATTGCAAAAAAAAAGTCTGAATATAGTAGGTATAAATGAAAATATGGGAATGTTTGCAGACCTAACAAGATAGTACTTATGTTACTAATTCCCATACTGGTCCCTGAAAAATGAAGCTAGATGCGAAGAGAGGAAGCTTCTTTGCACAGTTTGCCCTGAAGAAAAAAAAAGAAACCCCAACAAACCCTCTCCGCCAAATACAGGGCTTTGTGTAGGTCTCAGGACGCTAAGACCAAGCGGCAGGGAAGGGAGAACCACCTCCGGAACCTTTGTGCAGCGGTTTCGTATCCCTGCCGGTGCTTATAAGCAAAGGGGACGTTCCAGCCAATTGCCTATTGGAAGGAAGCTGCTTGGTGTCGGTTCTTGAAGGGGCTCGGTGGTGGCTGTGACTGAACTCGGCGTCGGGGCTTGTCTGTTCCAAAGGAAGCGCCATGGAAGATCAGGGTTGCCCCCGGTGTAAGACCACCAAGTACCGGAACCCCTCCTTGAAGCTGATGGTGAACGTGTGCGGGCACACTCTGTGAGTCGCCGGGCATCGGAGTGCACGGGGGTGGGTGGGACGCGTTGCGTGGGGGGATGCTTGGCCTCCGCTGCGAAGGAAAGGGCGTCTTTTTAGTGTGGAGCAAAGGGAGCAAAAGGGAAAGTTGTGTCGGAAGTCGAACTGTGGTCGCTCCCGCTGAGGGTCTGTGGTCTCTGCTGGGCTGCTGGTTCCCAGATGTGCGATCGATTAGTCTTGTCAGTTTCCCTCCCCTCCAGGGCAAGTGACAGTTTAAACTATTTCCCTGTGTTGTTAATTGCGCTCGATACAGGTGTGTGTGTGTGTGTGTGTGTGTGTGTGTGTGTGTGTGAGAGAGAGAGAGAGAGAGAGAGAGAGAGAGAGAGAGAGAGAGAGAGAGATTTCACGCGGAATGAAAGAGCGAAAGCGCTATGAAAACAAAGTTACTCTGAGCACGCGCACACACACACACACACAAACACAACACACACACACACACACTCATACAGGTCTCTATGGTAATTCTAGTGTGAGTTCCTCTGAAAACTCCGTCTTCTTGTACTCTCACTTGCTAATGGGAGTTTGGTTAGATTATCACCCCCCAAAAATGAGGGAAACCTACTCCAGACGGTTAATTTTGGAGATAAGATAACGGGAAGCATTTACTGAGGGCGCCTTATGTACCAGGCACTGTTCTCAAGTGTTTTGCAATCAGTTACGGCACTGCATTCCCTGCAGCAGACCCCACGATGTAAGGTTCGAGAATTACCATTTCACAGGACAGGAGGCCAAGACTGCGCAAAATTCCTTATTAAGTGGGCCCTGCTGGAATTGGAACTCAGGGGGCCTGACGCCGGAGCATCCTTTTGCTGGGGGAAGGGACCAGAGGAGTGAGGTTGAGTTTTGTGGGTTTTGAAGAGTAAATGCAGAATAAATGCCGTATTTTCAAAAATAAAGGTATTTCTTGATACAAATTTGTGGTCAGATGTGGTTCAGTAAGGGTTTTGGGGATTAAACAAACTATATATTATAATGCACTTCAGGGGAGGAGTGGAAAAATGAAATCCACAAGTATGGTAGGCAATGTTTTGGATATGACTATTTGTACAAAAAGTATTTGTCAGTCATTTTTTGGGTTAATCTATTTTCTTTTGCTTTATTAAGCAAAAGAAATGTGGTAGTACTACCCTCATGAAGCACTGCTTATAGACTATTAGATTTTTTCTTTTCCTTTGGCCACACGTGGCTGTGCTCAGGGTCTGCTCCTGGCTGCGCTTAGGCATCACTCATGACAGGGCGTGGGAACCTTATGTAGTGCCAGAAATTGAACCCCACTTCAAGCTCCCTACCCAATGTACGTACTCTTGTTCTGACATCAGTTTTTTTTTAAAGAGAGATTTTCTTAATTTTTCTTCATTTTCTTGAATGACATTTGTTACATTATGTTTTCAAGAAAAGTGAATTTTTTAAAAAGTTAGAGTATGTATAGACATAACTTACTAGAAGAAAATTTTGCTTACCAGAAAGTATCCAGCTAGGGAGCATTATTTGATGTCTGTTAAAGAAATGGCATTTTATAAGACTGCTATAACATATTTATTATTGTTTACTTTTGGACCATACCTGGCATTGCTCAAGGGCTGCTCCTGACTCTCTGTTTAGGGGCCGCTCCTTGCTGTGCTTTGGGGACTATAGGGTACTCAGGATTGAACCTGGGCGTTCCACATGTAAAGCATGTGCTCAGTAGACCTGTGAACCATCTCCCCGGACCTCAAGTCTCTTTATTTATTTATTATTATTATTATTATTATTATTTTACTTTTTGGGTCACACACAGCACAGGGGTTACTCCTGGCTCATGCACTCAGGAATTACTTCTGGCGGAGGTAGGGGGATCATATGGGATGCTGGGAATCGAACCCGGTTGTCCTCGTGCAAGGCAAAAGCCCTACCTGCTGTGCTATTGCTCTAGCTCATTTATTTATTTATTGCGGGGTGTAAGTGCGTTTGTGTTGCTGAGTATTAAATCAGGGGACTCATACATGTAAAGTACTTGTTTTATACTGAGCTATATTCCATGCGTTGGTTTCAAATTCTTTCTTTATTCTTTTTTTGCTACACTTGGCTGTGCTCTAGGCTTACTCTCAGCTTTTCACTCAGGGATCACTCCTGGCAGGAATTGCACAACTGTATGGGGTGCCAGGGATCAAACTCCTGTTAGTCATGTGCAAGGCAAGTGCCTTATCTGCTGTACTGTCTCACTGCCCCCCAATTTTTTCTCTATTAATGTGCTCCCCGTATTCGATATGCCAAACACAGTAACAATAGGCCTCACAGTGTTACTTGGCCCGCTCGAGCAAATCAATGAACAATGGGAGGACAGTGACAGTGACAGTGAATGTGCTCCCAGTGATGCTTGGAGGTCCATGAGGTGCTGGGGTTGAAACCAAGGCTCCTTCATAAAAGCATGAAGTCTAGTCCTTTGAGCCATCTTCTGACCTTTTCTTTATTTAAAAACATTTAAAAAATTTCTCCTCCCCAACTTCTCTGCCCTTTGTTTTTGTGGCTGTGGTGCTTACCTTAAGTCACCTATCAGGTAGCTATGCTTGCTTAGATGGCCATGGTGCTTGCTGAGGATTGCTCTTCTTTAGTTGTGGTATTATTTTATTGGGGCAGGGGGGTGCATACCTGGCGGTACTCAGAGTTTTTTCCTTGCTCTACACTCAGGGATGCTCACACCTGTTGCTCTTGGTGACTACAGGACTGCCTCAGGTGGTGTGTGGTGACTATGTGGTGGTGGGGTTGCAACAGGGCCTCTGGCATGCAAGGCACGCACCTTAGTTCTGTGCTACCTCTTTGACCCGGCTTTAAATTTTTGCTAAATATTACTTACTTGTTCCCAAAAGAGATACTATCAGTAATGCTTCCAACAGCAGTGTTTAGGAATTTTATTGCTACATATCTTTGCTGATATTGGATATGGTTGATCATTGATTTGCTTGAGCGGGCCCAGTAATGTCTCCATTGGAGACTTTGTTGTTACTGTGTTTGGCATATCGAATACTTCACGGGGAGCTTGCCAGGCTCTGCCGTGCGGGCGAGATACTCTCAGTAGCTTGCCGGGCTCTCCGAGAGGGGCGGAGGAATCGAACTCAGGCCGGCCATGTTGGCTGCGTGCAAGGCAAACGCCCTACCGCTGTGCTATCACTCCAGCCCATTGGATATGGTTATTTAATTTATTTATTGAATCACCATGAGATAGACCATTACAAAGCTATTCATGATTGGGTTCCAGTCATACCATGTTCCAACATCCATCCCTCCACCTGTGTACATTTTCCACCACCACCGTCCCCTGTTTCTGTCCCACCATCCCCCTCAAACCCCCCCCCCGCCTGCCCCTATGGCAGGCATCTTTCTTCTCTCTCTCTCTCTCTCTCTCTCTTGCATTTGCAATAGTTCAGTAGTTTGCAATACAAGTGCTAAGAGGTCATTGTGTTTGTTCAGGGAATTCACTATTTGTTTTTTATAACTTTATTAAGTCATTAGTTTAGTTATAGACATTCAATATTCCAGCACCAATCTTGACCACCATTGCACCTTCCCACCACCATTATTTCCAACTTTCCCAACCACCCCTTGAACCTGCCCATATAGAAGGCCCTCAGTGTAATTTACTTTACATTGCTTATTATAAATAATTTGCTAAAAGGATGATCAAAAAGTTTCATTAGAAGAACGTTAGTGAAGATTATTGTGTCTCACCATGTAGTCCTTAAGCCCCTGTGTAAGACATTACTAAGATGTTGTTATATCTTGTCTTTTGTGTTTATATTTTGTTAATTGAGATTGGCTGGAGCGATAGCACAGCGGTAGGGCGTTCGCCTTACAAGCGGCCAACATGGCCGACCCGAGTTCGATTCCTCCGCCCCTCTCGGAGAGCCTGGCGAGCTACCGAGAGTATTCGATATGCCAAACACAGTAACAACAAAGTCTCCAGTGGAGACGTTACTGGGCCCGCTCGAGCAAATCGACGATCAACGGGAGGGCCTTTACCTTTACCTTTAATTGAGATTGAATGCCTTATACATAACATCCCACCCAATCTGGTATGCTTCTCCTGGTTTATCAGTGTTACAGAGTTTGAATGTCGTGTGGCAAAAATAGTGACCTTGTCCTCCAGGGAGTCCAAAATTTTTAACAGGGTGATACAGCCAGAGTTAAATTCTTAACTGACTGGAGGCTTTGGGGCATGTATGACTGTGGACCTCAGGAAGTACAGGGAGATGGGGAGGTAGCCCATCTCCGACCCTGTGAAAGCTGGAGATTTCAGTCACAAAACATGCATACCTGAATTTTTCAATGAATTTCTGGTGAGACACATCTGAGCAGTGGGGTCCAGCTGGGAGCCCTGTGGCGATTGTGGAGTGTGGAGGAGATTTTTGCTGCCAGGACTCTATTGGGGCAGGTGTTGGAGTTCATTTGCCTCACTCTGGGTTGCGCTGGGAGGACTCAGCCTTCTGTGGGATTCAGGAGAAATTCTTGTGCATGTTGATGTCTTTTGAGATTTATTTCTAAGTCTCTGGATCATGGCTGGTGAGAGAGCTCACATGGTGCCAGAGGTGGTTGGTTCATGGGTGTGACTTGATGTTGAGTATTTTTACTGGGAAGGTACATCTGCAGTAGCCTTTTTTTTTTTTTTTAATCTGGGTGGCAATTTTGGGTTTTGGGGTGTGGCTGTGACTGCTGGGACTTTCAGAGGTATGGGGAGATGTGGGAGGTAGCCCATTCTGACCCCAAGAAAGTCTGGAGATTTCAGTCACAAAACCTGCATACCTGAATTTTCAGCAGATTGATATCTTGGTGAGGTCTGTCCCAAGACAGGCCAAGGGCATGGCAATGATTGAGGATTTTGGGAGCAAGCAGCTGCTGGGGGCTCTGATTGGGTGGAATGGTATGATTATTTTAATTTTTTTATTATTTTAATTTTTTTGCTTTTGGGTCACACCCGGTGATGCACAGGG